CATTTTGTTCATTGGTTTGTTAAACATATATATTACTTTTTTCATGCACAAAGATGAAAAAATCCTTAGTTTGTTGTAATTCATGCATGAAGGAGTTAATAAATCACACACTGATGGAACATCACTATATTGTAATTATGTATATAGGCTTTTTCTATCAAAGATGTTCGGGGTCGGTCAGGGGGTACTCGGCTGAGAAAATGTTTCAAAGGGGGTACATTACTGAATTTTTTTTGAGAAGCACTGCCCAACAGATACCTTACTGAACCTGAACATACACTTAACTTAGAGTACCTGAACACAACACACACTTAACTGCATGAACCTGAACACAACACACACTAAACCTTATGTACTAGAACACAACAACATACACTTAACTGTATGAACCTGAACACAACACACAAAAAAGTGTATGAACCTGAACACAACACACACCTTACTGTATGTGCCTGAACACAACACACACTAAACTGTATGAACCTGAACACAACACACACTAAACCTTATGTACCTGAACACAACATACACTTAACTGTATGAACCTGAACACAACACACACTAAAGTGTATGAACCTGAACACAACACACACTAAAGTGTATGAACCTGAACACAACACACACTAAACCTTATGTACCTGAACAAAACACACACTAAAGTGTATGAACCTGAACACAACACATGTTAGGAAAATATCACTTGACACCAGATTGAGAATCAATGATCAGGTTCTAATTTATTCTTGCAAGAAGGAGCAGAGTTAAATCACATCCAAAGGATATGGGTTAACTCACACACATGGGGTATGTTGCTCAACGGAGCAGCAAAAAACATCAGGCTTATATCGTCCAAAACACGGAGATAGATAACAACAAAGTCTTAGATCAAGGTGGCACTAATATCAGCCGCGGGTGTGGGAAAAGCGTCGGGTCATCTGCGACGTCTTCTGGACTTCCTTCACGCCTCATAGAAGTGAGATATGTAGGAGTCAACAAGTATGTGTCTGTCTCCTCATAAAGATCAACAACCTGAAATGCCCTGCCTCCTCCTATCATAAAGAGGCAGCTGCAAGGTCGTACTCAGTTCAGAGTCACACATGATGTCAGTGCATTAAAACAAACCCTAAGAGTGGAGACAACAGTATTTCTCCAACAACACACACTAAACTGTATGAACCTGAACACAACAGACACTAAACTGTATGAACCTGAACACAACACACACTAAACTGTATGAACCTGAACACAACACACACTAAACTGTATGAACCTGAACACAACACACACTAAACTGTATAAACCTGAACACAACACACACTAAACTGTATGAACCTGAACACAACACACACTAAACTGTGAACCTGAACACAACACACACTAAACTGTATGAACCTGAACACAACACACACTAAACTGTGAACCTGAACACAACACACACTAAACTGTATGAACCTGAACACAACACACACTAAACTGTATGAACCAGAACACAACACACATTAACTGTATGAACCTGAACACAACACACACTAAACTGTATGAACCTGAACACAACACTGGCTGAGTCCTCTGTTATGCGCAACAACGGACATTGAAGACATGTTGAGGGCGGACCCCCAGCAGCGCCAACCGGCACACGAGGAGGGGCATCGGAGGATACGTAAGGTGCTGATGTATGTGTTTCGCTCTGTCTCTTTGGCTCCCGGCGTACCGAGAACACAGCTGTTTTCTCTCTGAACAATATTCTGCTTGTAACATTACCGCGCCATTTTAATTAAAGTACCCATTTGAACCTTATGCCAGAGACTCCATTGGTCTCATTTATCCTAAGCCTCTCTCCTGGATGCTGGAACAAAGCTAATAGTAACTGAACACAACACACACTAAACTGTATGAACCTGAACACAACACACACTAAACTGTATGTACTTGACACAACACACACTAAACTGTATGAACCTCAACACAACACACACTAAACTGTATGTACTTGAACACAACACACACTAAACTGTATGAACCTGAACACAACACACTGCGTTATTAACAGCATTAACTCCAGAATGTGTATTTAAATGAATGGGCGGGGCTTGTTACCACTGGACTCATAAGACCAATCATAGCGGTGATGCAGAGCTGTCCGTCAGAGTCTGTGAGTCCCGCCTCGGCCCCGAAATCCAGCAGCAGCCGGGCGGCGGCACTGCGCTCTGAAACCCCCCCACAGTGATGATGTCATAATGAGGGGACTGGTACCCAGGTTAGTAACGTGTTAATGAGTGATGATGTCATAATGAGGGGACTGGTACCCAGGTTAGTAACGTGTTAATGAGTGATGATGTCATAATGAGGGGAAAGGTACCCAGGTTAGTAACGTGTTAATGAGTGATGATGTCATAATGAGGGGACTGGTACCCAGGTTAGTAACGTGTTAATGAGTGATGATGTCATAATGAGGGGACTGGTACCCTGGTTAGTAACGTGTTAATGAGTGATGATGTCATAATGAGGGGACTGGTACCCTGGTTAGTAACGTGTTAATGAGTGATGATGTCATAATGAGGGGACTGGTACCCTGGTTAGTAACGTGTTAATGAGTGATGATGTCATAATGAGGGGACTGGTACCCAGGTTAGTAACGTGTTAATGAGTGATGATGTCATAATGAGGGGACTGGTACCGTGGTTAGTAACGTGTTAATGAGTGATGATGTCATAATGAGGGGACTGGTACCCTGGTTAGTAACGTGTTAATGAGTGATGATGTCATAATGAGGGGACTGGTACCCAGGTTAGTAACGTGTTAATGAGTGATGATGTCATAATGAGGGGACTGGTACCCAGGTTAGTAACGTGTTAATGAGTGATGATGTCATAATGAGGGGACTGGTACCCAGGTTAGTAACGTGTTAATGAGTGATGATGTCATAATGAGGGGACTAGTACCCAGGTTAGTAACGTGTTAATGAGTGATGATGTCATAATGAGGGGACTGGTACCCAGGTTAGTAACGTGTTAATGAGTGATGATGTCATAATGAGGGGACTAGTACCCAGGTTAGTAACGTGTTAATGAGTGATGATGTCATAATGAGGGGACTAGTACCCAGGTTAGTAACGTGTTAATGAGTGATGATGTCATAATGAGGGGACTAGTACCCAGGTTAGTAACGTGTTAATCATGGATGTATAATAAGAACTGGATACAGCGCGGGAGGCGGGGCCTCATTAATTCCTATGAGAGCTGCTCATTAGCGCATGATGATAAAATGGCCCAACTTTTGAGAGAGTGAAACGTCACAGATTACCCAGCATGCCTGAGAAGTACCCGTATGTGCACTCATAGAGCATGCGCAACTTTAACCAAAATGCTCGTTCACATCAAGCACGTCAATTTGCGTACACGTAACAGCACCGTGCGTTCATGACAGCATGGTAATGGATTGTTGTTATCATGGATTTGATATGAACGAGGCGGCAGTTAGCAGCTAGCGGCTAGCTAGTAATGATGCTAGTGTACACATCAATCGTTATGTACTTATATTACGCTGTAACAGGATCTAGTGATATCCAACAGAGCTTCATTTATGATGAAATAATTATTGCACTGTATATATATATATATATATATATATATATATATTTATATATATATATATTTATATACAGTGCAATAAGCTTCTTAGTGCAATACGAAACTACAGGGACGTTAATAATGTCGGTAATATTAACTTTATTTAATACAACATTTACGGTACAAGATGTAATCATACAGCCCATGTAGTATGATAATGAATTACAGCAAACATGTGCAATATATCCATGATTACAGCTCCGTGGGATGGCAGTAAGACGATATGGGTCCGTTCTTATTGTGCATCCATGGGTAAAGATAAACACAACTCACATTGGTTTCTCAAACAGCATCTCTGTAAACTACGTGTATTCACTGAATTTCACTCTCTGCCTTTAACGGCTCGTTGTAGCTCCAATAGCTCCAGCCCCCACCCTCCCTGTGAGCAGTGTGCTCTGATTGGTCGGGACACGTAACATGAATGTGCCGGGCGGCGCGGGTCCCGTGGGTTAGATGCACGTTCATAATGCAGAGGGAAATAACTCTCAGAATAACGTTATTAGCACATTTTTACAACTTGAGGAACGAATGTTTTTAATAAGGGCTATACAAGTGTTCATACTGGGTAGTTTATTTAGTTTAAAACAAATTATCCAACGAGTTACAGACCACTCTTTCCCCATGTAAGTCAATGGGAAAAGTGTTTCCGGGCCTGGCAACCAAACGGAAGTGTAGTACCGCCGTTTGGCCAGCACGAATATTTTCATCTGAGTCCGGCGCACTTCCTGGGGGCTTGGTGTTAATGAGTGATGATGTCATAATGAGGGGACTGGTACCCAGGTTAGTAACGTGTTAATGAGTGATGATGTCATAATGAGGGGACTGGTACCCTGGTTAGTAACGTGTTAATGAGTGATGATGTCATAATGAGGGGACTGGTATCCTGGTTAGTAACGTGTTAATGAGTGATGATGTCATAATGAGGGGACAGGTACCCAGGTTAGTAACGTGTTAATGAGTGATGATGTCATATTGAGGGGACTGGTATCCTGGTTAGTAACGTGTTAATGAGTGATGATGTCATAATGAGGGGACTGATACCCAGGTTAGTAACGTGTTAATGAGTGATGATGTCATAATGAGCGGAAAGGTACCCAGGTTAGTAACGTGTTAATGAGTGATGATGTCATAATGAGGGGACTGATACCCAGGTTAGTAACGTGTTAATGAGTGATGATGTCATAATGACGGGACTGGTACCCTGGTTAGTAACGTGTTAATGAGTGATGATGTCATAATGAGGGACTGATACCCAGGTTAGTAACGTGTTAATGAGTGATTATGTCATAATGAGGGGACTGGTACCCAGGTTAGTAACGTGTTAATGAGTGATGATGTCATAATGAGGGGACTGGTACCCAGGTTAGTAACGTGTTAATGAGTGATGATGTCATAATAAGGGGACTGGTACCCTGGTTAGTAACGTGTTAATGAGTGATGATGTCATAATGAGGGGACTGGTACCCAGGTTAGTAACGTGTTAATGAGTGATGATGTCATATCGAGGGGACTGGTACCCAGGTTAGTAACGTGTTAATGAGTGATGATGTCATAATGAGGGGACATGTACCCAGGTTAGTAACGTGTTAATGAGTGATGATGTCATAATGAGGGGACTGGTACCCTGGTTAGTAACGTGTTAATGAGTGATGATGTCATAATGAGGGGACTGATACCCAGGTTAGTAACGTGTTAATGAGTGATGATGTCATAATGAGGGGACTGGTACCCTGGTTAGTAACGTGTTAATGAGTGATGATGTCATAATGAGGGGACTGGTACCCAGGTTAGTAACGTGTTAATGAGTGATGATGTCATAATGAGGGGAATGGTACCCTGGTTAGTAACGTGTTAATGAGTGATGATGTCATAATGAGGGGACTGGTACCCTGGTTAGTAACGTGTTAATGAGTGATGATGTCATAATAAGGGACTGGTACCCTGGTTAGTAACGTGTTAATGAGTGATGATGTCATAATGAGGGGACTGGTACCCAGGTTAGTAACGTGTTAATGAGTGATGATGTCATAATGAGGGGACTGGTACCCTGGTTAGTAACGTGTTAATGAGTGATGATGTCATAATGAGGGGACTGGTACCCAGGTTAGTAACGTGTTAATGAGTGATGATGTCATATCGAGGGGACTGGTACCCAGGTTAGTAACGTGTTAATGAGTGATGATGTCATAATGAGGGGACATGTACCCAGGTTAGTAACGTGTTAATGAGTGATGATGTCATAATGAGGGGACTGGTACCCTGGTTAGTAACGTGTTAATGAGTGATGATGTCATAATGAGGGGACTGGTACCCTGGTTAGTAACGTGTTAATGAGTGATGATGTCATAATGAGGGGACTGATACCCAGGTTAGTAACGTGTTAATGAGTGATGATGTCATAATGAGGGGACTGGTACCCTGGTTAGTAACGTGTTAATGAGTGATGATGTCATAATGAGGGGACTGGTACCCAGGTTAGTAACGTGTTAATGAGTGATGATGTCATAATGAGGGGAATTGTACCCTGGTTAGTAACGTGTTAATGAGTGATGATGTCATAATGAGGGGACTGGTACCCTGGTTAGTAACGTGTTAATGAGTGATGATGTCATAATAAGGGGACTGGTACCCTGGTTAGTAACGTGTTAATGAGTGATGATGTCATAATGAGGGGACTGGTACCCAGGTTAGTAACGTGTTAATGAGTGATGATGTCATAATGAGGGGACTGGTACCCAGGTTAGTAACGTGTTAATGAGTGATGATGTCATAATGAGGGGACTGGTACCCTGGTTAGTAACGTGTTAATGAGTGATGATGTCATAATGAGGGGACATGTACCCAGGTTAGTAACGTGTTAATGAGTGATGATGTCATAATGAGGGGACTGGTACCCAGGTTAGTAACGTGTTAATGAGTGATGATGTCATAATGAGGGGACAGTACCTGCACATGCTGCCAGCTGTAATGGAGTCCTCTTCTTATAATCCTTGGCGCTGATGGAGGCTCCGGCTCGGAGCAGAGCTTTCATGCAGGACAACGAGTCGTTCTTAGAGGCAAAGTGGAGCGGAGTCTGCAGGTCTAGAAAAGTCCTGGACTCAGGGTCAGCTACACACACACACACACACACACACACACACACACACACACACACACACACACACACACACACACACACACACACACACACACACACACACACACACACACACACACACACACACACACACACACACACACACACACAGCATTATGAGTCCTGAACCCTGACCTGAGTCAGCATGATGAGTCCTGAACCCTGACCTGAGTCAGCATGATGAGTCCTGAACCCTGACCTGAGTCAGCATGATGAGTCCTGAACCCTGACCTGAGTCAGCACTATGAGTCCTGAACCCTGACCTGAGTCAGCATTATGAGTCCTAAACCCTGACCTGAGTCAGCATTATGAGTCCTAAACCCTGACCTGAGTCAGCACTATGAGTCCTTCCCCCTGACCTGAGTCAGCATTATGAGTCCTAAACCCTGACCTGAGTCAGCATGATGAGTCCTTCCCCCTGACCTGAGTCAGCATGATGAGTCCTTCCCCCTGACCTGAGTCAGCATGATGAGTCCTGAACCCTGACCTGAGTCAGCATGATGAGTCCTTCCCCCTGACCTGAGTCAGCATTATGAGTCCTGAACCCTGACCTGAGTCAGCATGATGAGTCCTGAACCCTGACCTGAGTCAGCATGATGAGTCCTTCCCCCTGACCTGAGTCAGCATTATGAGTCCTGAACCCTGACCTGAGTCAGCATGATGAGTCCTTCCCCCTGACCTGAGTCAGCATGATGAGTCCTGAACCCTGACCTGAGTCAGTATTATGAGTCCTGACCCCTGACCTGAGTCAGCATTATGAGTCCTGAACCCTGACCTGAGTTAGCATTATGAGTCCAGAACCCTGACCTGAGTCAGCATTATGAGTCCTAAACCCTGACCTGAGTCAGCATGATGAGTCCTTCCCCCTGACCTGAGTCAGCATGATGAGTCCTTCCCCCTGACCTGAGTCAGCATGATGAGTCCTGAACCCTGACCTGAGTCAGCATTATGAGTCCTGAACCCTGACCTGAGTCAGCATGATGAGTCCTTCCCCCTGACCTGAGTCAGCATTATGAGTCCTGAACCCTGACCTGAGTCAGCATGATGAGTCCTGAACCCTGACCTGAGTCAGCATGATGAGTCCTTCCCCCTGACCTGAGTCAGCATTATGAGTCCTGAACCCTGACCTGAGTCAGCATGATGAGTCCTTCCCCCTGACCTGAGTCAGCATGATGAGTCCTGAACCCTGATCTGAGTCAGTATTATGAGTCCTGAACCCTGACCTGAGTCAGTATTATGAGTCCTGACCCCTGACCTGAGTCAGCATTATGAGTCCTGAACCCTGACCTGAGTTAGCATTATGAGTCCAGAACCCTGACCTGAGTCAGCATTATGAGTCATTATAGACACAGACCCTTGTGCTCCAGGAGGAACTGGACCATGTCCTCGTAGTCCAGAGCCGACGCCACATGTAGAGCCGTGACCCCAAACTGATCTGCTTGGTGGAGGTCAGAACCCCGATCCAAGAAGAACCGCATCACATCCACACTCCATGCTCTGGAGACCTGCACACACACACACACACACACACACACACACACACACACACACACACACCACACACACACACACACACACACACACACACACACACACACACACACACACACACACACACACACACACACACACACACACACACACACACATACACACACACACACACACACACACACACACCACACACACACACACACACACACACACACACACACACACACACACACACACACACACACACACACACACACTCAAAAATACACCTTCTGAACCGTGTGTGTGTGTGTGTGGGGTATGTGTGTGTGTGTGTGTGTGTGTGTGTGATCTGACCTCATGCAGGACCGTCTGTCCAAATCGGTCCGAGCTGTTCGGGTCGGCTCCGTCTGAGATCAGCTGATCCAGGAAGTCCAGGTCCACCTGAACACAGACGCAGACACACACACATTATATGTGTGTAACACACAGTATTTGTGTGTGTTGTTGGTGTGTGTGAGACCTGGTCTGAGTCCTGGTCGGCGGCTGCCAGCTCTCTGAAGTGATTCAGCAGATTTCTGTTCAGCTGGGCTTTGTCCGTCCCGTCGGTCTGATCCTGATCTCTGTTCTCAGCCAGACCCTGGTACCTGGTCTCTGGAGGGACACCTGAGGAGTAAGGGTTCAGAATGAGACACAGACACACACACACACAGACACACACAGACACACACACACACACACACGCACACAGACACACACACACAGACACACACAGACACACACAAGCACACACAGACACACACACGCATTCACACAGACACACACACACATACACACACACACACAGAGACACACACACACACACGCACACACACGCACACAGACACACACACACAGACACACACACACATGCACACACACACACAGACACACACACGCACGCACACAGACACAGACACAGACACACACACAGACACACACGCACACACACACACAGACACACACACACACGCACACACAGACACACAGCCACACGCACACACGCACACACAGACACACACACGCAGACACACACACGCACACACACATGCACACGCACACACACACACAGAGACACACGCACACACACAGACACACACACACACACACAGACACACACACGCACACACACACACAGACACACACTGACCCTGCAGTTTTCTTCTCCTCTGTCTCCGGCAAGCCCCCCCCCCTCCCTGACCTGGAACACCCTGAGATCTGGATCCTGGTTCCCAACATCTCCAGCTCCAGTCCAGGATTCCGCAGCCCAGTGAGACCGGTTCTCCTTTTCATCCTGGTTCTGTTAGAAAACTCCAGACCTCCTGAAAACTGGTTCTGTTGGAAAACTCCAGACCTCCTGAAACCTGGATCTGTTGGAGAACTCCAGACCTCCTGAAACCTGGATCTGTTAGAAAACTCCAGACCTCCTGAAACCTGGATCTGTTAGAAAACTCCAGACCTCCTAAAAACCTGATCTGTTGGAGAACTCCAGACCTCCTGAAAACCTGGATCTGTTGGAGAACTCCAGACCTCCTGAAACCTGGATCTGTTGGAGAACTCCAGACCTCCTGAAACCAGGATCTGGTCCCGTGTTACAGACTGCTCTGGATCTGAAGCTCTGTCAGCTGACGTGACGGCTCAAAGGTTTACGGTTTCTTATCAGATGACAACCCTTTATTGACATAGGAAGGAGGAGACAAACAGATGTATAACTTAAACAGGCCCCATGTTCAGGTGTATATCAGTATGTAGTGTCTCTACTTTAAAGAGTCCTCTCCTGCTGATGTTCAGGTGTATATCAGTATGTAGTGTCTCTACTTTAAAGAGTCCTCTCCTGCTGATGTTCAGGTGTATATCAGTATGTAGTGTCTCTACTTTAAAGAGTCCTCTCCTGCTGATGTTCAGGTGTATATCAGTATGTAGTGTCTCTACTTTAAAGAGTCCTCTCCTGCTGATGTTCAGGTGTATATCAGTATGTAGTGTCTCTACTTTAAAGAGTCCTCTCCTGCTGATGTTCAGGTGTATATCAGTATGTAGTGTCTCTACTTTAAAGAGTCCTCTCCTGCTGATGTTCAGGTGTGTATCAGTATGTAGTGTCTCTACTTTAAAGAGTCCTCTCCTGCTGATGTTTGATTGATTGATTGATTGAAAAGTTTATTAACAGCTTGTATATTGGGTACAGTACAGTACAGCTCAAAACATACAATTGTTAAGGGGATGCAGACCAGAGAAAGACTTTCGTCTTATTTACATCAGGGTCCCCCATTTCCAATTCATCATGTCATTTAAGACATATAAGACATATTTGACATACAGATGGCTTATTTACAATTTTCATTTTAGATTTCGTTCTAATACATCCTAAACGGACATTTAAGACATACCAAGTCTACAGATATACAGTTAGTAACAGAGTCTAAAATGCCAGTATATACATAGATGGGGGGGGGGGAAGCTGTCCATTGAACGACAGGTTGAGATTTGTACCATTACCGGGGCCAGTTTTGCAATGCTCTCCCCCAAAGGTGCTCTTTAAGAGAGGTTTTGAAGGGAAGTATAGTTTTACTTTCCTTTACAGTTGTGGGAAGAGCGTTCCACCTTGATGTGGCATCATTGCGAAACGTGTATTCCCCCTTTTTTGTGCCAAATCTGGGTTTCACATGATTTGTGGAGCTCCCTCTGGTGTTATGATCATGGTATTCCTTGACCTTTGGGAAGAATGTTGACATGTACATGGGTACCATAGAGGTGTAGTGGATCTTGTAGACCAGGCCCATTGCAAGTAGCTGTACTCTGTCGTCTACTCTAAGCCATCCTAGGTTGTCAAAGTGGGCAGAGGTGAGGTGGGTTCTAGATGAAAGGTCAAGCAGTAGTCTGACCAGATTATTTTGCGATGTTTGAAGTTTTATTTTTAGCGCCTTGGAGGTGCTATGGTACCATGACGTGCAAGCATAGTCATAGTACCCTTGAATGAGTGCTCCTGCCAGAGTCTTCAGGGTGTTTTTGTTTACCAGAGAGGAGATCCGGTATAGGAATCTAGTTCTTTGATTGACTTCTTTTATTACATTGGATGCCATTTTGTCACAGGAGAGGTTTGCCTCAAAAATAGATCCTAGGTATGTAATTTCCTTCTTACTTGTGACAATAATGTCGCCCACTGCAACTGAGAAGTCGTCGGATTTGCTGAGATAATGTTCAGGTGTATATCAGTATGTAGTGTCTCTACTTTAAAGAGTCCTCTCCTGCTGATGTTCAGGTGTATATCAGTATGTAGTGTCTCTACTTTAAAGAGTCCTCTCCTGCTGATGTTCAGGTGTATATCAGTATGTAGTGTCTCTACTTTAAAGAGTCCTCTCCTGCTGATGTTCAGGTGTATATCAGTATGTAGTGTCTCTACTTTAAAGAGTCCTCTCCTGCTGATGTTCAGGTGTATATCAGTATGTACTGTCTCTACTTTAAAGAGTCCTCTCCTGCTGATGTTCAGGTGTATATCAGTATGTAGTGTCTCTACTTTAAAGAGTCCTCTCCTGCTGATGTTCAGGTGTATATCAGTATGTAGTGTCTCTACTTTAAAGAGTCCTCTCCTGCTGATGTTCAGGTGTATATCAGTATGTAGTGTCTCTACTTTTAAAGAGTCCTCTCCTGCTGATGTTCAGGTGTATATCAGTATGTAGTGTCTCTACTTTAAAGAGTCCTCTCCTGCTGATGTTCAGGTGTATATCAGTATGTAGTGTCTCTACTTTAAAGAGTCCTCTCCTGCTGATGTTCAGGTGCACATCAGTA